TATATATCATAATATATTTATTTATATATTAAACTGACCTGGAAGAATGAGTGAACATTCACAAAATACAAAGTAATGAGATGCCATCTCTTTAACACATCAAAGTATGGAATGCCCCTTCTAAGCTATTATTTCTCTGCTCAGTTAGGAGATTGTAGGTTTCTGCTCCGGTTAAGGAACATCTGCACCCCACAATGCCAATTCCTAGGTACTTTAGCACTCTCAGCTTTCAGATTTCCATTTTCTCCTAATACCCAAAGGAAGGAAAGAAGAGCCCTACTTCAAATTCTTGAGGATATATATTACTTCCTTCCTGGGCTGAGATGTATGATTCCCATCAGCTAGAACTAAAAAGTGACTCAACAGCTCCCAAAAAAGTAGCAGAAAGCTTTTGAGACATTAATTTCACAGGGTCTTATTCACTAATCCGGTGCCCTGGGTAGCCTAATTCATCTAATGCCTAACTCACCTCTTCTTTCCATACAGTCTCACAGGGCATATGCTTTTTCTACAGCCAATGAGGATTTGTTCTAAAATAAGTGACTTACAGTCCTAGGGGCACCTGACAATGCTCCCTCAGCTAATGCCATGTCAGGATTTTTACATTTTTAATCCCCTCTCTAGCATGACATTATGCCTGCAGAATACAATTGTGTAAAAAAAATTTTAAGGAAAAAAAATAACAAACAAAGAAAACAACCATAACCCTGAACTTCTGACCTAGTATAGCTGACTAACTATATGCAATTACACACTTAAAAGATTTCATTATGGTTGTCAATGAAACAGTGCAGTCCCCCCACGTCGCTGTAATGCTTACAAGTACAATTCTTCTCCCAATATTTTCCCTCGAGATGCAAAGCATCTCCCAAATGGAAAGACATAAAACATATATGTCTTCATTGCTGCTTCTAAATACTGTGAACCAATAAGCAATTGGTGTGTAGTGCAAAATCTCGGAAAGGAAAGACTTCTTGTCTGCTTTTTTTGTACTATGCTATTACTCACACTTCACCTTTACTTCCTTTAAAAATCAAAAGTTGCTTAATGTTCAAAGCGATATCAATGGAAATTTAACTAAATACTGGCACCGCAACGGTTCATTCCCTAAGGAATACAAGATTACATTAATTTCCTACTAGTTTAGCTCAAGTTTTACCTTTCATCTTCCTCTACAGACTTTTAAAAAGTTTTTATTCCTGTTGCACATAAAATTACCTATTATATGTGTGCATACTAAAGAATTTTACAATTACATAAAGCATTGCACATTTAGACGCTACCAACCTGCTCTATCTCTCCTGACTGTGCAAAAGGCAAAAAGAGCTCAGTAATCCTAGCAGAAGAATGCAAATAACGTCAATGCACAGCTGAACTGCAAGCCCTGCCTTACAGGAACTCTCTGTGTCTGCAAAAAAAAAAGACACATACTAAACAGGAAATGCAACTGAGCTGTGGAAAACCTCAAACTTAAAAATGCAATCGCCAGGCGAAAATTGCATCCATGCATTCATAAATGCATGCACAACCCTTTGCATTTTTGCAAGTAATGCAAATAGGCTCTTACCTTTCGACTGAGACATTTTCCCCTTTCCTTTGATGGGGGAGGGGAGCACAAAAGACTTTGCCTTGCTTCTCTTCTGTAGCTAGTTTTGCAACAAAGATGCAAGCTGCAGGCGTGCAATCTTCATGCAAGTGGAGTTTCTCTTGACCGATGCAGCAGATGGACTTTCAGGGAATCAAGATGGAAATGCACACCTTGCAAAACAGACTGGAAAGTGATTTTTCCCCCAGTTGCAACGTTAGGGAAGGCTGTGCTGCAGCTACATGATGGGCCAGGGCTGGCAGCTAAAAGCTCCAAACTTGGAACTGAGTATCTTAGTGCGCAGACGTCCTTCCTGCGAAGGGCGCGGGGGCCGCTGGGACATGTAGTTCCCGAGCAGAGTCCACGGGGCTCTGATTTAAGGAAACGTGGTCGCGCGGGTTGCTGAGCGAGATGACTGGTTGTGACAAAGATTGCGTCCAGATAAACAAGTCAGATACGCACTCGGTAGTAAGTGATGGGAGAAAACGGGCAAGGCCAAGGGGACCGGGCATTTTTGTTCTCGAAGAGCCCCTGAAACAACAGCTAAAAAAACACGAGGTTGGCTAAAAACCACTTGGCCCGCTCAGAAGGTCTGTTTCGGTGTTGAAGTGTTTGCAGGGCAGCACCTGTTAGACTGTTGCTGCCTGTAGACGTTTTCCCCTCACACTTCATTTTCAAAAGCCTTTTTCTCGCGTGAAGAATTTGTTGGTGATTGGGCTGGGTGGAAGTAACTGCAGAGAAGAGGCAAAGTTTTATTTAGTAAGAAATGATCCAGGTCGGTTATTTTTGAGGAATCTGAAATTCAATATTGGGGCTGCGTGGAGGTGGGGGACTGGGGAGTTCTCATTTCTTGAAGGGTTAAAGAGGAAGTTCTGCTCTTTGTGTGTCAAAGCAAACTTTATCGAAGCTAAAATATTTAGATGTTATTTTTCTTACCTGGGGGCGTAGGAAAGTCCCTGGCCTCAGGAAGAAAGTGGGTGGTCATCTTAAATTAACAAAGTCAATTGCCTTAAATTTATTCAACAAAACTTAGAGACTTTCGTTGCGCTTCTGGTGTGTGCCAGGCACATTTCTAGAGTCTTGGGTCATGTGCTGCTTACAGCTTAAGGCCAGGCAGCCTCCTGGGCGAGAATAGGGTCACCCCTTTTCAGGGAAGCCAGAGAGGCGTGGAATAATTCCATGCAAGGAACTGAGAGGAGTCAGGGGGCCTGGACTGAAATGAGCCCAGACTCAGAAATGTGCTTTTAAGATAAAGAGGGAGGAACTGAGGGTGTGAGGCCGCTGAGGTATGAACAAGCACAGGGGAAGGGTGCAGACTGCCTGTTTGGGAGACATCAAGGATGCCATGCTGCTTTGTATGCAGAAGTGGAGGGGGGTGGAATTTACCAGTGGGGATTCTACAGGGCCTGAAAGTCAGGCCAGAGGTTTGGACTTTATTCTGCAGGTACTTGGGAGGTGGTGAAAGGGCTTTGAAAAGGGGTGTAACTGAATCAAAGCATTGTTTTAAGAAGGTAAGTTTGTCCTCAGCAGTCGAGGTGGATTGAAACCGGGAGAGGCTAGAGATGGGTCAGGTCATCAGTGAAAGGCAAAAAGATGCACTTTGAAAGAAGATTCAGCTATGTTTGATGACTGCAAATGAAAACTATTGGAATTTTATTAAGAATTCTAAGAAGCCAGGGCCTTCTGAGTAATGGATGAATCAGAGGAAAGAAGGCCACCATGTTTCAGCTACAAATCAGCAAATCAGCTCTTAAAACAAATATGCAATAGGTCATGGAACCAACATTAATTTACTTAAGTTGATCACCTCTGCTGACGTTAATGAGAATTAATCAAGGTCATTTCGTGTTCATATGAGCTTCTGCCTCTAAGAGGAAGAGATCTCTGTTCTATGAGCACAGATGCAGACTTACTAATCCACTTTCTTTCACTGTTCTCCTGGGTGGATCCATGCTGTCTATTCCTCTCTTCCTTGCACACACACAATCTCAGCCTCACTGAGCCAGCATATTTTCCCCTAAGTCTCATTTAAGCAGGAGACACATGGGCCTGGAGATCCATTTCAGTGCATCCAGTTCACTTTTCTAAACATTAATGGAGCATCTGCCACGGGCCAGGCCATGGGATAGCTGCCGGAGCTGCTCGTAGAATCACTCAGCCCAGGCAGGGCCCCAACAGCCGCCTAGAACTCACTTCAATTTGCATCTTATGTGGTCAGCAGCACTGCTCTTAAATTGCCCCAGACTCGCATTTTTATGGGAGAACTTTAATCGTATCTTGTCTGGTGCATTTTGCTGCCGTCACTGTGCGTTCTGTGCATAGGCACGCACCATTCACAGCTGGCAAATGGCTTGTGTCCTGAAAGTCAGTCTAATTCACATTCCCACAGAAACAGTGATGCGTTTAAGAGCCAGTGCGCGCGCGCGC